AACATAAGCTTATCATATTCTGTGATGTGATTTACTCCGAGGTGTTTGACGAGGTCAGTGGTGTTGCCACAACAACGTGTCCACACAGGACTCTGTTTGCGCTCAGCCATTGTTGTGAGTGTGCACGCCAGGGGCTGCCACACATTTATACAGCCGTATTCGCATATGATTATGAAAGGCGTAAGAGGAAGTAGTTCCTTCCAAATTAGACGATCCGAATTGTATAGTTTCTTTCCACTGCGTTCATTTTAATGGAAAAACTACAAATTTACCCCAGAGTACTAAAATATCGATATTATAATATGAGAATCGATTCTAGAACATAAATTGCTGGTATCGGAAGAATCGATATTTCAGTATCGATCCGCACACCACTAGTCAATACATCACAGTATCCCAATAATTTCGATATTTTATTAGATAATGAAAATAGTTTTTCCAAATTCTGTCATCTTTGCAACTTGTGGTGACTAAATGGTTGCCCAGAGCTTCTGAGGGTGTTGAACACTAATGACTGCTTGATAAGAGGCAACTTTCCTTCAATCACTCTCAGAGATTGTGGAAGGCTTGCAAATAATCCCTGTCTGATTTGTAAATACAGACAGATTGCCAACATGTTGCATTCAGTCTGAATGAATCTTTGTCAGTGAACACAATTCAAGGGGACTCGAGTCAACTGGCTGCCAGGTAGTTGTATTCTGGTACAAAATTTTTGGAACAGGTTTTTGAGCGTAAATGCAATAATGTGATTTTTTCTCTATGTAAACAGCAACAGATATGTGATTTTTGACAATTTATCTATCTATCTATCTAAAAAAATTTTGGGGCGGGATGGATGGACGGATACTGACAAAGTTTGAGACAAACTTTGACGACATATTTTGCAGCTGAAAAACCGGGATAATAAACCACAGTGTACGTTGGTAAACTATTCTGCATAATGCAACATGTTAAACATTGCAAAAATATCATATTATGAGTGAAGTATTCTGGTAATATGTGTGTCTAATGGACCGGATGTTAAATGTAGGGTAAAATGAGAAATTACCTTAAACCCGAAGAAGTTGTAAGAGAAATCTCTGTCGTAAATGATTGACGAGTTGAGGCGCTGCAAAAAATTGAGGAAAATGTGTTAAAAAGCTTCACCAAACTTTAACTGTGAGGAGACGAACAAAGGATAAAATCAAACCCCACTTACAGCCTTGTTTTCAAGAACAATGTCCAGCGTCTCCTTGGAGATCATAGGAGAGTGACGTTTATTTAAAGGGTTGATATAGTTGTAGAGGTCTTCCATAACGTCTACACAAGCAAAGAAGAATGTCAGTTCAATATTTGTGCTGATTATTTAAGTCTTCCTAAAAAGCTAAGCAACTTCCTGTGTGCAGCATTATTAGTTACAAAAGATGTGCACCAGGGGGTGTTATAGTAGACTACAGGTGCTATGATTTCAATGTAAAGTCATACCTATAGATACATTTCATGAAATGCACAGAAATTCAGGAAGTTGGTGCAGAGCAGGGGTGTCAAACATAAGGCCTAGGGGCCAGAATCGGCCCAGAGAAGATTTTAATCTGGCCCACTGGATGGTAATGCATAGATTTAGACTTTTAATTGTAATTTCAGAAGTTTTGCAGCGTTTCTTAATGATAAAGACTCTACTGCTATTCATACTACACCAAAGTAATTTTTTAAAAAGATAATTAAATGACATAAAAGTTTCCACTATAGGACTTTGTCCTTTGAACTACCAGAACTTTTTTGTGCGTGTCATTTTTTAGATTTATCATGTAGTTTCACTGGTCCAGTCTACTTAAGATCAAAGTGTCAGAGTATGGGAACCCACGCAAACACGGGGAGAACATGCAAACTCCACACAGAAAGACCCCGGCCTGATGTTGGAATTGAACTCAGGACCTTCTTGCTGTGCGGCAACAGTGCTGCCCCACCGTGCCACCGTGCCGCCCCACCGTGCTGCCCCGCCCCACCCCACCATGCCACCAATTTCTAATCTCAATGAGATTTTTTACCTGGATAAATAAAGGACTAATGAAACTCACCACTGAATACTTTCTTGGTCTCTTTGTGCAAGTTAGATACAGCGATGCGTGCAGCCAGGACTGCATAGTCTGGGTGTTTGGTTGTGAGAGTGGCAGCAGTCTCTGCTGCCAGAGTGTCGAGCTCCACTGTGGTGACTCCACTGTACAAACCCTGGATCACCTTCATGGTAATCTGGGCCTGCGGAAAGACAAGATATCAGCTTTTATATTAATTCATCACCTGACTTTTCTTTGTCTCTCTCTCTCTGTCTTTTTTTTTTTTTGGGGGGGTGTTAGCAACTTACAGGATCCACAAAGTCACAATTGAGTCCATAGCAAAGCTTCTGGACCCGAGAAGTGATTTTATCAAAGGAAACTGCCTCAGGGCGTCCATCTGAAAACCAAGCAAACAAAAATAACACAAATTTAATTCAGTAGTCTTCAAACTCCTTTGGTCGTTTATCTGAAGTAAAGTATCCTAGCTAGTTAATATAACTTAGTCTTAAACACACCGCATATCACCGTCTAATTGACTCTCCTGCTCAATTTATTCCCCCAGTTTACTCATTAGCTCAGATGAGGCTCCCAGTGATCAGCTGCCTAACCATTTAGTGTCAACAAAAGGCAACACCTCGCCGCTTCTGCGCGCCAAAAAAACAGATGATAAAAACACGCCAAAAGCGCCCTCCCCACACACATCTGTCACAGAGGGAAGCCTGTGGACATGGTGTAAAACAAATTTAAAATTTCAGCTGTCCTGCTTCTATTTTGAATACAAATGTTACATATGTATATGATTTAAAATAAAGAAGACCAAAACAACATAAGAAGCCGGGGGGAAATTAGCAACCGGTTCTGTCCGCTTTTTCTGCCCTTTCATAACTCGGAGTCTTTGTTTAGCGTTTCAACGGAAACACCACACAAAGAAACAAAAAGCACCTTTAACGTGTATTTAACACACATGCACACAAAATATGCAATGTTTCGTTGTGCTATTAATATTTACTGCAACGTAAATACATTTCAAGGCTTCCCCCTCCCACGACTGTACCAAAGCCGGTGACCGGGTGTGCATCAGCCTCTTTGATAATGGAAGTATTAAAGTTAGCTACAGTACCTCGTTTGATAACATGCATGATGACAAATGAAGCGGTGGGTCTCCTCAGAAAGCAGGTGCTGTTGGTATCTTCTCAGCTGAATGCTGGAAACGAGCTAAAGAAACTGTGGCGCAAAGTAGCTAACAACAAGCTTATAAACCCTGTGAGAACAATCAAGCATCACAGCAGAATCTCAAACTGAGCGCGCCAAAGAGCCCGAAGTCAGTTACACCAAAGTGTGTCAGTCGCTCAGCCAATCACACGAGACTAATAGACTTCTAAACCAATCACGTTCGTCCTTTTACGTTTTCCGGTGACCTCTTTCCGGACCAAAAATCTGGCGGGATGCAACAGTAGAACATGCAATTATGTTTCTACAACAGGACTGGCTCGTCCGTGCAGTTTGGCGACGTGTTTATAAACGTCTTGAAAACCAGAAACAAGTTGTAACACCGAATTTCATATTTATATGTGCCACAAGCATAGCTCTAGGAAATCTACATCTGCCTTTCATAGTCATATGCGGAAGACGCCTGTATAAATGTGTGGCAGCCCCTGGCGTGCACACTCACAACAATGGCTGAGCGCAAACAGAGTCCTGTGTGGACACGTTGTTGTGGCAACACCACTGACCTCGTCAAACACCTCGGAGTAAATCACATCACAGAATATGATAAGCTTATGTTGAGGCGAACTGAAGAGGAGGACAGGGACAGGTGCTGCTAGGGCGAGACAGACGTCTCTCGCAGAGTCCTTTAGTGCTGCAGGCAGGCAACATGCTCAAATAGCGCACAACGTCAGTTTTTTTTATTTCTATATGATTATTCTGCATTATTAAGCAATAAAAACAAGTTGTCTGATGTCCTCTAATCATTATGAAGCAATATGGTTATGTTCTTATTACAATTACATAATACAATTATATATTGTATTATGAAATGCAATGAAAGATTAAGTTTTTGTACAGAGTATGGGTATCGGATCAGTATCGCCGATACCACCCTGAATTTTACCTGGTATCGGATCGGAAAGGAAATCAGTGGTATCGCACATCACTAGTATTGACACGATTTTAAATGAGTTTGTCAGAGGGACAGCTCAGGTTCAACTTTTTGGAGAGGCAAGGTTGAGGTGGTTTGCACATGTGCAGTGGACGGATGTTGAAGATGGACCTACCATTCAAGAGAAGAGAAAGACCACATAGAAGATTCATGAATGTAGTGAAGGAGTACGTGCAGAGAATTGTGTGTGACAGAGGAGTATTTGTATATATGCATCCATGCTGGGGGGCTGGAGCCAGCTGTCTCAGGGCGAGAAGCAGGGTACAACTATGGGCAATTTATAGTTTCCAATTAACCTATCCACCACTAACTGCATGTCTTTGGACTGTGCATATTTTTTATACATTTACTTGGGTAGCTTTGTTCTATTAATTTTGATTTCTATTTTTTAATTATCCTTTTTTTTTTTTAACAATTGTATTACATTTATTTTGTCATATCATATTTCAGTATTTAGTACCCATTTTATTTCAGTAAGCTATATACTAGTCTAATTTAAGCAGGTCTGTTATATGTTGCGTTGAACGGAATTTTTAACTGCTGTAAAAACTTGTGGGATTATCTGTTCTTATCTTATTTCATCTTTGCTATCTTATCTAATCTTCAGAGCAAATTGCTACACAATTATAGCGTTAAAATACAGGGCGCCGTCCAAAAAACACCGTGTAGATGTGGGGAAAATTTTACGGTGACGACCTGAGACTTTCAAACATTAACTATGACTTCAAGAGGGAACAACAAAAGGCTAAGCTAAAAATTCTGAACATGTCCCGCCCTTTATTTTGAAGGAAGAAAAACATCCAAGACCGGATGTGCCCGGTTTTTCGCTAATGCTAATGTACCCGGAACGATAAAGCAGCACTCCGAAGATGGCCGGGGTGTTTGAGGTGGAGGTTGATGGTGTGGAGCACGATCATGGACTGGAGCACCACGATGAACCGAACCAGGTGAGAATAACGGACCGTTCTGAGGTATTGTGACAATAAAACGGATTTATGATGTGGTGTATTACTTGCTGCTAACCCAACTGCTACTCCTGGGCTTAGACTCCCGTAAGTAGCTAGCTGCTTGTTAACTGCTTGTTAGCCATATTTTACTAAGCAGAGGTGTGTGTATAAAATGCACTGTTCTGTTCATTGGTCAAAGCGACAGTGCAAGCGTAAAAGGACTCTTTTCCAACTGCCAAGCTAATTATTGTTAGTTACTTTCATGTGACTAAAGTAGCATCAAAGTTTACTCATTTTTTAAAAAAAAAAATTGCATTTCATACGAGATTTGTGCACTCGCGATTGTTTGATCTGAGCTGTGAGATATGTGACCGTCTGAATTAATAACCCTACAAATAAAGCTGATGTGGCTGTTGGGGTCAAAGGCCACCAAATGCATTAGCCGCGACAAGTCAGACAGAAGAAAAGACTACATCACTTCCTGTGGGATTTCAACATTCTGGTCAAACCTAATCGAGCTCGATGCTAAACTAAATAAGGTCACGGTGTAAACCGAGTCCGTGATAAAAGCTCTCAAAGTCTGAGATGTGAAGAGCAGGTGGTAGGAGGCAGAACATTTACTGTGATGCAAAAGTGGCATCACAACCTGAAATAAATCCCAAAGAGGTCTTTACATCCGTCACTGATGAGTTCACTCTATCTGGTTTGAATAGAAACCTTTCAGTAGGAACTTTAATGTGGCACACTGACCTATTTTTGTATTACATCTTAGTATGTGCAGTGAAAAACAACACGTAGATGAGCTAATCTGTTAAGTGAGTAAAATGCAATGACGCTAATGATCGGCAGGTATATCTAAAATGTGTTGTTTTCATGGTAACAAGGTATAAAAGGTAAAAACGGATTTTTTTATTTTTTTACAAGGAACATCGTACTATATGGATGTGAGCCCTTAAATGTGTATTTGTGTCTGTTATTCATATACCATATTTAGCAGATGATAAATAGAGGAGTCATCAACAATTCTTTGTTTTGAATACAGGGATAGTAGCTTAACAAGCTCAACAACATGGGAGGGACTACCGGTTAATCATGCCGAGTGTTCTTGTTGTTTAAATATAGATATGCAATTGCCTTATATCTTGCTGCTCAACCAAACCTAAATGTTTCAGTCCCATTACAGTTTTTTTCTTTTTCTAGCTGCTCTGTAATTAGTATGCAGCGTAAGATCTTGGGGTTTGTAGCCAACTGTGTAAAAGGTGAAGCAAATGCTGCAGTTTGGTGGGATTGACTTGTTTTATAGGAGTTTTAAAATAATTCTGTGATCAGTGTGCACACTATCATATGTCCCAATTTAAAAAAAAAAAAAAAGGATGTAATTTCATGCAAGCTTTTAGTTTGATAATTTGTTACTTATTTCTCTCTCTCTTTCTTTAGTATGATTTGTCCAAGCTTTCACCAGAAGAGAAGTGGAGGTTAGTGTCTTTGCCATGCATGTATACATTTTCCTAATATGATTCTGGATTCTTGGGCCATTATTATTATTATTATTATTATTATTATTATTATTATTATTATTATTATTATTATTATTATATATTTTAAGGGATTGAAAAATCAGATATTGATTGCAAATATTTTTACCCATATCTCCAAAAGTTGATTCTGTTCATTTGGACGTAGCGTTTTGTGGGAGAAACGTTTCATCACTCATCTGAGTGACTTCTTCTTTTATCCATACAATGTCTTATAGTTGTGTTGAAAAGAGAAAATTATAGAATGATAGCTTATTAACTTACCAGTAACGTCTTTAACAAATTAGTTAGCAGCATAATGTAATAACGCTGCTTGACTCAGCATGACTATCTGCTTAGCCGTGATGCATACACTGCTACAGACAGTGCTGAGACTGTGCAGTCAGAGGTGTAATTTATCTTTTGAACAAACTATCAGGACACCATTTCTAAATTACTCATCCCTCTTTTTTTGGATATCTTTTGCACTCTTAAAAAAAAAAGATATTGGACATTATACTCTCATCCATCTGCTGACCCATATCAAGGGGTTGACTAATCTGTATAACAAAATGTTTTGATCTTGGAACAGCTTTTACGCATTAATTCAAGTTTTGTTTAAGGCATCGCAGTCTAATCAGGCTTGCCAGTTGCTGAATTAAGTTTGTGTTTTTCCACAGGATGGAGCATGCAAGAATGCATGCCAAACACAAAGGCCATGAGGCCATGCACGCAGAGATGGTGCTGATCCTCATTGTTACCCTGGTTGTCGCCCAGCTAGTCCTCGTGCAGTGGAAACAGAGGCATCCAAAGTCATACAATGTAAGGCACAAAAGAAACACTGATAAGTTGGCAATTGTTCAGTTTGAATTAAAACAGTTTTAGGTCTGTGTGTGTGTGAGAGAGAGAATGGGAAGTGAAAGTGTACAGTAAATGCTGTGGTTTTTATGGTTTCTTAGTTGTCATACATAATTCCAGTTAAACCTGTTTTCTCAAAGAGAGATCCTGTAATTTCTTATTTTCTTCTACATCATCAAAAATTTGAAGTTATATGTTTTTGTGTTTGCACAGTCTGATGGTAGTCAGGACTGCATGAATGTTCTAATGCACACACTTTGCTGTCTTGTAGTTGGTGACTTTGTTCCAGATGTGGGTAGTTCCTCTCTACTTTACTACCAAACTTCACTGGTGGAGGTTCCTGACCACGTGGTTTATCTTCTCTGTAATCACAGCGTACATTTCCTTCCGTGCTACCCGTAAGCCACTGGCCTGCACCACACCGAGGTAAAGCCATTGTTTACACTCATACGTTCCTGTAAATATACCCATTCCTCTCTCTGTGTGGGAACAGAATTGTCAGGAAAATTTCCTGATATATTCTGATTCAACTTTTTTGTTTGTGTAGGTTGGTGTACAAGTGGTTCCTCCTCCTGTATAAAATCAGCTATGCCACAGGAATAGTTGGCTACACTGTCGTCATGTTTACACTTTTTGGTATTAACCTAATATTCAGGTATGTATTGCACATTAGTTCAATTTTTTAAAAATGTCAGTGAATGTCAATCTACTGCAATTAAAACCCTTCAAATGGGAGACTATAGAAATATTTTTTCAGTGAAACACATTCTGAGGTTCTGTGATAGGTTGGATGCATCCTTTAGCACTTGGCTGCCACTAGATGGCGCTGTTTTCCATATTACGAGTTCTTTCCTCCTTCGTACTTGTCCATCTATGTCAGGGGTGTCAAACTCAAATACACAGTGGGCCAAAATTCAAAATGGAACAAAGTCGTGGGCTAACATTAATATTTATTGAAAAAAAAAAAAATCTTCCTCCAGATATAAGAATGAATCTTTTCTTATGGACTCAAACAAGTTTAGCTGAAAAACTGAATATGGAACAAGCAAAGCTTAATACTAAACAATATATATATATTAGCTGTATAATACCAGTAGGCCAGCTGTAATAGTAATTTGGTATGGCTTCGCAGGCCAAATGTAATTAGGCTGCGGGCCAGAGTTTGACACCTATGATCTATGTGATTTGGTTTTTTGCTAATTTATAAAGTAAAGTACTTGATGTTGCACACATTGCGATTAAATTTTTTTTTCCAGCGTAACTGAGAGCTGAGAGTATTACAAGAAGAAGCTTTAGTGAAAAGTATCTGTTTACTTAACTGACTACTTTGATGATGATTTTACCATTCAAGATCTCTCTTTCATTAAACCTGCCTTTTTTAACAGGCCTCATGTGTGCAGTGGGGGAAATAATTATTTGAGCCCTTCCTGAGTTTGTTCATTTTTTTTGTAATTGAGACTGAATGAGCACCAAAAACCATTAAAACGCACATTACAAAAGTTATACATTGATTTGTCCTTGAGTGCAATAAGTATTTGGTCCTGTACAACGCAGGCAGAATTCTGGCTCCCACAGATTGACACTGTGCCCATGTTCCACACAGATTACAGTCAATCAATTACAGACACTGACTTACTATCTGGAGGTTTCACCTTCATGCTTTGCATGAGGATCAAATACTCATTTCACTCAGTGACAGACTCAGTGGCTGAGGCCAGTTTACTTTTAAGGTAGTGCATTTTTGTTTTTGGTTTATACTCTGTCCTCTCCATTAAAATATATAAAAATACTACCATAAGAATTAGTGACTGTTCATTTCTTTGTGAGCAACTTAAACCGGGCATCAAATAATTATTCCCGACACTTTATGTATAAAAAGGTGAATTACAACTGTCAGTTGATTCGTTTTATAGTACAGTGCTTTCATAAAATGTAATTTTCAGTTAGAAAACGTCATATTTTGTCTGCTCTGTTTCACTGTTATCACTGTTTATGGTTTGATGTTCTGGGATCATCATAAAAGGATAGATTTCTAACAATTTTTAATTTTAGCTTGGTGAAATATAGTGATTTATTTATTTATTTTTAAACGGAGGGGGAAAAAAGCCACACTAAAACAGAAAATTGAAGTTTTATAGTCTAGTCTTTCATGCAAAATGTAAAGCATTTGCCCGTCTTATGGAGCAAACTGAACTTCAGGTTGAATATCAACATTATCAGTCAGATGATTTCAGTACTGTGTTCTCTGTCCAGGATAAGTCCAGAGGATGCCATGGACTTTGGTGTTTCACTTCTCTTCTATGGACTGTACTACGGGGTCCTGGGAAGGGACTTTGCAGAGATGTGTGCGGACTTCATGGCTTCAACCATTGGGGTAAATGCGCAAATTTAAAACGGTGTATATTTTCTCCTGGCTGTAACCTAAAATTTAATGTAGCTTTTCCCTCCCGCAGTATTACAGTGCATCTGGCATGCCAACCAAACACCTCTCAGACAACATCTGTGCTGTGTGCGGTCAGCCCATCCTTGTCGATGTCAGTGAGGAAGGGATCATTGAGAACACATATCGATTATCTTGCAACCATGTGTATCCTTCCTGTGACATTTACTGACACATTTTCGTGCCTTTAATGGTTACCGCTGAAAGAGAAGTTCAGGTGCGTGATGGAGAATTCTGTTGGTATAAAAGGTATGTCGTGGGTTGGCATGGAACTACACTGTGTACTCAAATTAACAGCTTAAAGAGGAATTGCCAGGGTTTACCTGACCTTTATGCCAGACTGTTGATGTCTCTGTTACTTCCCCAAGGATCTGTTGTGTGTTGTAAATGATACACAGTGCCATTTCACGATTTTTGTTTTGTTTGTTTGTTTTGGATCAAGTTTGACACGTTCCTTGATGTATTCTTTATAGGAAATCAACTTTCTATTTAAAATGCTGTTTAAAATTGACCTCTATCTTATTTCCTTACAAAAAGATGTGACCAAAAATGCATTATCCACACCTGAAGATTATTCTTTTATTACACATAAAAGCAACACCAGGTTTAGATAAAAAAACAAAACAAAAAACAACACATATTTGCAAAGTGAAATGTAATTATTAATTAATAGTGCAGTACAAGTGTCTCGCCCTACAGTGCAGTGCTATCTGTAGTTAAACTAGCTCAGGAAATTATCCTTTGTCCTTAAATTGTACTATTGTTTTGTATAAATAATTTATCAGATGAATGTTTTCCTTTTGACTGGTATTAGAGCATTAATGTTGGATGAATGTTCAAAGATCTCCGAGTATTCAGTATTTGAGCCTTAACTCCAAATCCAGGTTCCATGAATTCTGCATAAGAGGATGGTGTATCGTCGGGAAGAAGCAGATGTGTCCGTACTGCAAAGAGAAGGTGGATCTGAAGAGGATGTTCAGTAACCCGTATCCTTTTTATTCTGGGATTCTGTCTGCATTAGTTACATTTTTTTTTTTTTAAAACTAAATATTGAATGATTCCTGAATTAGTTGTAATTTCAAAGATTCTAATGAAATAATAACTTTCTGCATAAAAATGCTGACAAAAACGGACCCTGTGAAGATTTTGAATTTACTTTTAAGTCCAAAACTAAGTATGACAGATGAGATCTGACAAAGCACTGAAACCTAATTATGCCAAGTCACAGCGTGTGTGCGTGTGTGCGGGCGTGCGTGTGTGTGTGTGTTCCAGACTGCTAAGTACAGGCTATTTCAAACAAACAAAAGCAAAGCATAAATTGTATACCAGGTTCCTGTTCCTTTTTGTGGGTTGGAAAAACACTTTATATAACTGACAAATACATGTTATATATAATTAATGATTTCTCAGGAGCTAATGAAGATTTCTGCTTCCTTGTGTTATCACTGTGGTTACATGTTGACCTCTTGTTCTCCATTTATTTATCATTTCTGATTGTTGTCAAGGGTTATTTCCTTAACCATTTCTATTCTAGCTGGGAAAGACCGCACGTCATGTACGGACAACTTTTAGACTGGCTTCGGTACTTGGTGGCCTGGCAACCTGTTATTATTGGATTTGTGCAAGGTATCAACTACGTCCTGGGTCTGGAGTAGCCGGCAAAAACCGGCAGAAACGGACACACATACCATGTGGAGAAGATTATGCACTGGCTCAAAAAGACTGAGGGCCTAACATTGAACTAAAACACCAATTTAAAAAAAAAAAAAAAAGTGTCTATACTTTTTGTACATATTTATAGGCACATATCTGTATTTGCAGTTTATTTGAATTTTCTTAGTAACCTAAAATTGGATGTGTGTCTCATTTTCCCAGGATTTGATTGGTCTGTATCTCATGGCCTAGTAAAGCGGTTTTTGAAATCATTAGAGGGTTTTTTTTACTAATTTATGTCTTAAGTGTTAAAAGGTTAAAGGATCATACTGGAATGTGTCATCCTTGTGTCTGATGGTTATCAAACATGAGTAATAAGTATTTCCTCTGGACTCCTAAATATATGAACACTATATCCACAGACATTAGTTTCGCATCTGCTTTAGTTAAAATTCCTGCTTCACATCGGTCACGTATTTTGACCACAAGTGGCACCAGTTTCATAAGGGCCTGTCATATGCCTCGTGGAGCCAAGTTGTAATCATATGTCAGAAAGTACTACTCATATTGGTAAGAACGGTACCTCCTACATTTACGATGGAAATTCTAGTGTTACTGGAATCCATGATGTCCTCGTTTAGGGAAACACCAATCTTTAGCCAAGTAGTAACAGAGTCATTTTGGTTTGACCTTTATCCAGTGTCTCAGCATATGTGAGTGCTAAGTTAAATTCCCTTGCATTGTCTTGGTGTAGCAGAGATGATGATAAGGGAGGCAAATTTAAGTCAAAACTGTGTGTGGAGAGAAATAAACAATTCAAAGTTATAATGTAACTGAACTAAAATCCATCAAAAGTATTCAAATTAAATTTAAGATGAAAAATATCCCAGAATGATCCTTTAACTGGTGAGCATGCAGATGGGGACGGTCTTATTTTCACGTGGTATGTGCATTATCTTCCATCCTGAAATTTCTGGAAGAGAACGGTTGGTAATCTTTTTGTGGGTACCTGTCAGACTAAATGCATAAAGCAGTTGTTTTAGGGCCCATTTGTGCACCTCACCACCAGCTTAAATGGTAAAAGGACTGGGTGTAACCAGACCAAAATATGATCATTTTGTTTTGATCCAGACCGATTAATAAATGTCACTTCGATCATGTGTGTTTTGTCCATATGTCTGCGAGGTAGCATTCACAACCCTTCATAATGTCACAAAGAATTAGTCAGCACATCTCATTTGTACTGTGTGGGTGAAAAGGGAAGTTGAGTTAAGTGCGTGTGTGTGCCCGCATACATATATATACAGTAATCTGAAACACTGGTCAGCAGCAAAAGACTCGAGGAATCGATATGAAGCTCTCATCTGCTGTGAAAGGTAAGGACTTATTATGATACCAAACAGTTTGTTTTTCTTTGCATTATATTCGATGGTGAACGCTTTGTCTCTCTAACAGTTCTGGGATCTCTGTGTCTGCTGCTCGTAGATGGATTTCCAGGTACAGAATAGTTATGTAATAGAAAAAAGTTTTTTTTTTTTTTTGTGTAGTAAGATTTTTAACCTTAGAATGTTTTGCAGTTTCTGAAGATGAATCTCCAGAGATAATTGGACCAGGGTTTGTCCAAATAAAAACTCATCCAGGTAACGCATCAAGCCTCTTTTGATGGGACAGGCTGTGTAGTTGTGAAACCTTTCTTCGATGTATGGATGTGTTCTGCCTCCTAGGTGCACCGCTGGTGCTTCACTGTGATGCGTTTGTAAACTGTGAGGACGATATGACTCTAATCTACTGGCTTGTCAATGACACCTTCCCCGAAGACGCCCCCAGCAGCGACAGGATAAGAGAATCTAATGAGTGAGTATCTTTGTTACAATTACAGTGGAAGTGTACATTAAATGAAAACAATTAAAACAGTCTGTAGCTGGGCTGTAATGGCTGTGTTTTCATTAGATCCACTCTAGAGGAGGGTGCAATCCTTCAGAGGAGTTTGCTGTTGAAGAACATCACATCCGAGGACCTCAAATCCACCTTCACATGCGTTGTGACAAATGCTGTGGGAGTGGCCCAAAAACACATTAAATTAATATCAACACGTGAATGACTGAAGATAGTAAATGACAACTGTGTAAAAGATCTTGATTTTCTGTCCTCTGCCTTGTGATATAAGTCATGTCTGTCAAGAGTCAACATTGCATGTCAGCATTTTCATGTAATACTTTTGTTTGGCAACTTGTGGATGAACTCTGCTGAAGAGCTGGATGGTTCAAAACCTAAACTCCAGTTACGCTCAAAGGTAAAGCAAGTAGCTGCTGAATGCTCTCCTTTATATCAATCTGACAAACATACAGAGGCGCCATCTGATGTAGCAGTGTTGTGGTCCAGTTGTAACTACACTTACCCACCTTACAGTCATTTAGACGACTGTACCACACAGTGAATGTGTTGAATGTTGTGTCAGCAAACTGTTTTCTATGCCTGTGTACGGTTCCTGTACTTGCTGAAAAAAAAAATAGTGAAAATTAAATTTAGATACTTTTAAATTAATAACCATGTTTTCCTTGAGAGTTACTGTTATTCACACTTAGATGTTAGATGCTCACTATTCCTAATAATATCTGAGTAAGCATTTCCACCATCTGTGCAGCAGAGGTCAGCAAAGCAGCTTTGTTCCTCAACCTTGTTTTGTTGGGGACTAGATTTAGTTTTGTAGACGCAGTTAACATGCCAATGTCTAAGTTGTGTTTAATATGTTTTAGATTCATGCTTGAAAGAGATGAAATTTCTATTGATAAATAGCAGCTCATTTAATTTGATTTGAAGAAAAAAAAAAAACAATAAAAAAAGAGTTTTACTTAACATTGTTTTTGTTCTTGAGTTAAAACTAGTTATCAAATATCACCGGGTCTTTATATTGATATCTGAAGCAGATTCATGAGAAATGTGATTAAAGCTACAGGAGTCCATATTCTTTTTAGTTATGTAATTTAAGCTATAGAAGAACTCCTTAATGACATGTCGAAAGACACACGTCGTGGTTGTGGAAAAGATGTTAGTGTGTTTGAGAAGGGTCAAATCATTGGCAAACATCTAAGGAGATTGCAGAAACTGCTAAAACTGGGTTAAGAACTGTCCAACGTGTTATTAAAAAGTGGAAGTATATTGGGGGCCCATCGTCTTCGAGGAAGAAATGTGGCCAGAAAACCCCCTGAATGATCGTGATCAGCGCTGATCACTTAGACGTTTGGTGAAATCACATCAAAGAGAAACTACAGTAGAACTCAGGGCTATGTTTAATAGTGAAAGTAAGAGCATTTACACACGCACAATGCAAAGGGAACTTAAGAGATTGAGTCTGAACAGCTGTGTAGCCGTAAGAAAACCACTAATCAGTAAGGCAAACCGGGAGAAAAAGGCTTCAATTTTCAAGGGAGCATAAAGATTGGACTCTGGAACAATGGAAGAAGGTCATGTGGTCCGAGTCCAGATTTAGCCTGTTCCAGAGTGATGAGCGCATCAGGGTAAGAAAAAAAGCAGATGAAGTGATGCACCCATAATACCTAGTGTCTACTGTACAAGCCTGTGAGGGCAGTACTATGATCTGCGGTTGCTGCAGTTGGTCAGGTCTAGTTTCAGCAACAGTATGTGCTCCAAGAATGAGGTGAGCTGACTACCTGACTATACTGAATGACCAGGTTATTCCATCAATGGATTTTTCCTTCCCTGATGGCCCGGGCATATTCCAAGATGACAATGCCAGGATTCATCGGGCTTAAATGGTGAAAGAGTGGTTCTGGGAGGATGACACATCATTTTCTCACACGGATTGGCCACCAGAGTCCAGACCTTAACCCCATTGAGAATCTTTGGGATGTGCTGGAGAATGGTCAGACTCTAACATCGTTAACGCACGGTGAAAAATTAATGCAACACTGGATGGAAATAAATCTTGTGACACTGCAGAAGCTTATCAACACAATGCCACAGTGAATGCGTGCTGTAATCAAAGCTAAAGGCGGTCAAGTGGAATATTAGAGTCTGCGATCTTTGTTTTTCTAGCCAGGCAGTGTATCTTTTGCTCTTTGGCTGTTCATCTCCCCTTCTTGTCTGCTTTTTGCCTCTTTCCTTCTTTCAGAACACTTTTCTTTTTTTTCTCCTTGATCATACTTCACATTACGGTTATATGTTCACGTTTGTCTAAAAACAAAAAAAAATGTGATCACAATAAAAGCGTAACGACTGCATGAATAACTAAATAATGCAAGAGGTCAACAAGCAGTTAGAATGAACTCAGAGTAAAAGCATGAGTCAGACACTTTTATTATAATATTGATCCTTATTTTTTAAGCAGATTTTAGAAGGTAGATTATTTTTATAGACTAACACATTTCAGGCACAGCAACAGCAGCAACACAACCCCACACTTGACAAAAGAATTTACACATTATCAAGAATCTTTGATCCTAGATGCACTATGTAAAATAAAACAAAAACACAAAAACCCCAAACTTCCAATATAAGGCACCTTAATCTCACACCTTTTCTAAAACAAACATCACTTTAAAATCTTCGCTTTACACATCCTTGTCATGTCTGACGATTTTAAAAGTCTAAAAATAAGCATTTGTACCCTTAGTTTAGCTCCCTTAAACTCGATAGTGTTTACGTTGGCTGAACACTGATCACGTTGTCATAATGTAGAGAGACTGTAGCTCACTGTGCAGCCAGCTTTTTGAATTCATTGAAGACTCAGACATGAATAATTCTACGCAGTCATCAGCATTTAACAGTCAGTTAAACTGGATACTGAGCCCCGTGATTGTGACCCGAGCTCCTTCAGGCAGCAGTGCAAGTTTCTATTCCTCTCAGGATTCTGACTGTCTTTCATTCTCTTCCTGATGAGAGCAGCAGCATCTCCAGTGGCAGTTGGCCACTTTAAGGGAGAGGTGAAGAAGGGCTGCAGAAGTTCCTGGTTGGTTTTAAGTGTCATTCCAAACAGGAAACGCAGGAAAATGTCCAATCTGCCGTCCTCGCACTGCAGACTCCTGTCCACAGCGTTCTTGTACATCTCCGAGGGTGTGGGCCCCCTGAACATCCCCTTAACTTTATTTTTCGGTTTCTCCTCGAAAACGTTCTTCCCGAGATTTGCGAAGGTGAGCATTGCATAAAGAGCAGCCAGGTACTCCTGCATGGTGGGGTGGATAAAGCTCAAGACATTCTCGTTGAACAGCACGTATGGCTTTGTGACATACTGCGTGCACAGGCCTGTGTAGGGCACTGCCTCCTGATCGTTGATGCCATTTTCTTTCCAGTCAGTCTGTGTTATCTTGTACTGGCCGCGTTCCAGCATCGAGAAGGCCAGCTTTCCAAGTTTGATAAGAAAGTCTCTCTCTTTATCGACGCTGTTTTCTGGAGCTCTCCATTTGCGATTCTGACGCAGGAGTGCAAACAGCAGCTTTGTGTACATGTAGGTGATGCTGTTTGGCAGCTCTGCGTGTGTGCCCTTTTCTTTAAATACGCGCTGGCACTCATCGGCCACTATAGAGCAGAACAAGGGCAGGTGGCACATGATACGGAGGGTTTTGGTAGAATTGATATAATCAATAACTCGAGCTGCTTGGTTTGAGTCCTTAAACCTCTTCTGAAAGTACTCGTCCCGTTGAGTATCACGGAAACCAAGTACTTCTATCTCATTGTAGTGCGCATCCCATGGGACGCAGGCGCGTACATATGGCCGAGTAGTAACCAAGAACAGGCCGCGGTAAAGCAGCCTCGCTCTCATGAGGTTGACCACGATGACCTTCAGATTGCTGGTATCTGTGGGGTCACTCAGAAGCTCTGTGTTTTCAAAGTCAATCTTCCAGTGGTACTCATCCAGTCCGTCTAAGACAAACATCATTTGGCATTCGTCGCACCTGTAATCCCCATCTCTCAGTTTTTCTGTTGCCGGGTAGAGTTTTTTAACTAAGCCTGCCAAGGAAAGTTTTTCGCCCTCAAACTGTTTGAGTTCTCTGAATGGCAAAGGAAACAAGAAAGTCACGTGCTTGTGTGCTCGTTCTTCAATCCAATCGAGGACTAACCTTCTGACTGCCATAGACTTCCCTGATCCTGCCACTCCAGTGAGCAATATAAACCTTGAACTTGAGGTCTCCAGATAGTTAGGAGTTAAAATATCTGCAGTAGAAATCTCCTTGGGTGCTTCCTGGTTGCTGTCCAGCTTTCCTATTTTCATGACCTCGTGTTCGATATTGGGGCCATTATCACACGTGGAAACAATTTTGAGAGTAGTATGAACATCGTCAAAGGGCCTCTTCTCACCACCATAATCCTCACATACTTCACCGTATTTCTGCTTCAGACACTCGGCTAATTCGTAGCGTACTTCATCTGAAATAAATAAAGAAAATAAAATGTGCATACATGAAGAAGTTTGTGCAGATGTGTCATCATTGCTTTCATTAAGGTTAAATTAGCAGCCAAAACAAGACATTAAGGCATACTCAAGGGCACTTACTTCTAAGGCACAAAGTATCGACATATTCAACCAGCTTCTTTTTCCCCATCTCAGCCAGATGGGTTTTGGTGATCTGGAATGAATTTTCAAGGCTGTAACACTCGAGTAAGCGGTCGACCAGGTCCACTAGGTCCGTGTTTTGTGGAGGAGTGTTGAACGACTGCGGGTAATACTTCCAAAGCTTCCTTTTGAATCCCATAAGTTCAAACTCTGACAGCTTTCCAAGGGTTTTTGAGATAGCCTAAACCCAAAACAGCAATCAAATATAACTATGTCTATATAGCGCTTGTTTTTATCTTTAACAAAAAATGGACAAAGGCAAAAAAAGAACAGTGACTGACCTTAAAAGTGAAAGGAATTGTTAGAGATGGATGCCTTTTCTCACTTATGTTTTCGATTAACTTGTTTGTGTCAGAAGATTCAGGGACATCCTCTTTGCTCCTGGCCCTAGTGACGTCACAGTGAAAATGTGGCAAAATATTTTAGTGACAATACTGGAAAAAGCCACACACAGTAACATGTGCAAGTTTCTTACTTGCGAATCTTCTTTTCACAGTCGTCACTGTCAACGGAGTAACAGCTGGAGTACGAATCTGCTCTCTGTCGGCGGACACTAAAAACAGGGAGACAAAGCTGTGTTTAAATGAAGTGTTTCACTCTCTTTCCAGGAATTAATTTAACAGAGACAGATTTCGTCCCCTCTGAATATTCTTAATGAAAAGCTTGTGTATTTTTTTGGATAGGTTGCTTGGACTATTAATCCATCTTCTTTAACTGGAAAGTACTTTGGTTCAACTTAGTGTTTTTGTTTTTTTTCCCCCTTAAAAAAATTGCTTTCTGATTAAAACTGACATGACTTGTTTGCACCTTGTGGAAGATGTGTCGTCTTCTCCCATTTTGTCTGACTCTTCGCTTGTCATTGTGCTGTAGCTCTGAGCTGGAGACAAGGCCTGGTCCACGTAATACCTAAAAAAGAAGGAATGGTAGAATGACAGTTCTTTTAGTTACTTAGTGACCACACGGCAAGTAAATTTCCAGACATCATGCAAAATAGCCCAGTCTGTGATTTTTCTCACGTATCTAGAAAAGTCTAAGTTATTCAAACTGAGGATATTGAGCAATTATGATGCATGATGGAAGGGCTTTCCTTCACTGGAGTGACTCTACTAAGACTCAGCATATGTGATGTAGCAAAAAGACAGCCAAAGTTGCAGACCGAAAATCCCACCTGCGCATAAAAACAGCCAAGCAATGACGCAATCAAGAACAACTGGAGTTTCCAATATTTCCAGTTTAACTTCACTATCTGCAAATATTTTTCAACATATGTCAGAAAACTGTAGTTTTTTGAGCAGGTGCTGATGCATAAAGTAGAAATAAACTGTGCTCTATTTGGCCCTGAAATTCTAGTTCAGCAGACTTCAACTATGAGGGGAAAATCCCCTGTCAGCAGAGTCACAACCACTTAGTAGTGTGACCGGTCAATAACTCAGTGAAATTCTCACTATTAATGATGCGTTCAATCTTCCTGTCTTTAGCCTGTGCTGATAACTAATTGATTAACAGTTTCATGTAACTAGTCTGGTTTTTAATCATTTCTGAATGTAATTGAGTATTTATGCACTGGTAGTAAACCAAAAGTTCAAAGACCGGACATAGTTTGACATCTTCAACTTAAATATGCGTAGAAAAGAAAACAAAGATTGTTGCATGAAATATAAATTACGTATGTACATGTATAACATGTAACGTTGTACATGTAACAACCCAAAAAGAGACAAGCTGAAGCTGAAGACATCAAGACTGGAAATCCCACTGCAAACTGAGTGATGCTTATTTTTATGTATTGTAACCTAAGAAATTACAGACAGTCACAGCGTAGGTCGGCATAAATTTTACTCACTTAACAAAACTTAAAAAGCATTTTCACTACAAAAACACAGTGTTAGAGTGAGAGAAGCACAGGAAGGGGTTGCAAGTCAAACATTTCTCCATACCAGTGGGTTGTGTCCATTGGACTGGGTCCCAGGTCAAGCGAAGGTCTTCTCGGAGGAATGTAGTAGAGGTCCTCATCTTCATCTTCTACCTCCTCCTCAAGCCCACTTTCCCGTCTTCCAGAAGCTGCTTCCCCAATGGAAGAGCCTTCTGATTGCGTGCCCATCGCTTCGTCTACGTCGCTCATGATGTCATGGAGAGGGTCAGTGAGCAGCACTGATAAGAAGAAGAAAAATCCTGGGGAAATAAAGGAGACGGATATTAAACTTTCTACTCTTGCTTATTCAACACGGTTCTGCTATTAAAGATGTCTTTAGTAATCTTTTGACATTGCCTTGCCAAAAGAAAATCATACAACTTTCCTTTAGAGGTCTTGAGAAAGTAACTAATAAGCATAAAAGACTGTGGTTTCAAATATTCTGACACTGGCTCCTACATTGGTTTGAATAGCGGTGCAGGGGTTAGCACAGCAAGAAGGTTGTTGGTTAGCCAACTGGTGGAGTGTGCATGTTCTCCCTACACCTGCTACTGCTCCCTCCCACAGTCTAAAGACATGCATGTTAGGATGACTGATGACCTGTCTAGAGTGCATCCCATTTTGTGCCTATGATTGCTGGAATAGGCTCCTGGACACGATCTGATATTGTTGTGTTGGTGTTGTTCCCGAACCGTCATAACACTTGTGGTCCAGGATCAGAATTGCAACTGACCAATCACATTGTCTGAGTATTCATTTAGCATTTCTTTCCTTCTCCCTCACATTGCAAAGTTATGACAACAACAGCATGGCTGGTCAATTGCAATGTTGATCCTGGACCGACATTATTATGGTGATGCAGAAACAACACCAACACAGGGATATCAGATACACTGACTCCAGGCACACTGTGACCCCCGAATAATGAGAAGAAAATGGATGGATAGCTCCCAATTATTTTGTAATTATGGCTTCTTTTATGTGTAAACCTAAACTCTCTCACTAGACGCCACCCACCCTCATTCCCATGAAAAATAAGTAACATAAGTCCTAAGTAGGAATGTAGAAACAAATAACGGTGCACTTGTTACTTTTTAGATTACTGCAATTCGAGGTGCAGCAAGGGTGCTATTAGTATCAAAGTGATCACGTTTCCCACAGCATTACCAATTGCTAGCATTTGTAAGTCTCATATCACATTAGCACTTTGCCTTAATTACACTTCCTTGAGTTTTGAAAAGTAGACTGGGAGGTGGAGCCTGGAGCTATCAGCACAGTTTTGTTACCAGTGTCTATTAATATGCTGTGTCTTTGCTCTTTGTCCCCTCCCTCTCTCTTCTTCTGTGCACTCCTGCAGGCAACTCTGGTTTATTGTTATACATGTATTCCTACTATCTGTCAAGCTGATCACCGCCCACGCCGAGCCTGGTCATGCCGCAGGTTTCTTCCTGCTTAAAGCAAAGCTTGTTTCGCTACTGTATCCATGTGCTGGCTAACAGGAATTTGTTGGCCTTTCTTACTCTAACTGTTTGAGGTCTACATTCATAAAGCAGAGTAGAAACTGGTTTAATTTGACATTTTTGGGAACTCTTCCGCTTTGCGTTTTCCTTTTCTTCATGTTATGAATGGGAGCTCGTGGCACCTGTCTGACCTACAGCAGCCTCTACATACCATGATAAGATTATGTCCGCGACGTTTCATAATGTCTTTCTGAATGATTTAATGCTAGCCGTGTTGATTTTGAACTTAGAGATTTACATAAGCTAACTCGATGAAGCGCAATAAGAAGACTCCAACAAGCAGCGAGGAACACGACGTTTACACAAAACGATGACAAATGCTTTCACGACACTCAATCATCTCACGCAATTTCACTGTTTATAAAATAAATGCATTATTACTACATTAAAAGCATGCAATGAACAGTGAATAGCTTACCCTTCTCCGTGACTGGAAGTTTCTTCTTCTTCTTCGTCTCAAGTTTCTTCTTCTTCTTATGGCTATACTACACCTCACTAGGCCTACACTACCACCTACAGGATAAAATGTGAAAAAAGACGAGTAGTGGAGGTGTGGTACAGTACACAGAGGTCTTGATGCATTCTCAATCATCCAGGAAAGTAAATCTCCAAAAAGTTGATTCTGTTCATCTGGACGTAGCGTTTTGTGGGAGAAACATTTCGTGACTTCTTCAGTGAAGAAGTCACTTGGATGAGTGACGAAACGTTTCTCCCACAAAACGCTATCTATCTATCTATCTATCTATCTATCTATCTATCTATCTATCTATCTATCTATCTATCTATCTATCTATCTATCTATCTATCTATCT